GAAGTGTACAGATATGGAGATATTAGTTTATTAAAATTTGCTATGTTATCAAATGCACACGTAGTTGACCATGCGCTAGTCTTCCCACCCTCGTTTTTTTCGTGGGAACAGAATGATGGTAGATTATACGAGTCACGAGTGAAACGTTCATCAACAGCTCTAGATCGTCAAACCAATAAACACTGGTTAGACCAGTGTGAATATATATGCACATGGTCAACTATATGTCTTGCTAAGATTATGGAAATTTTGAGAAGTTGATCGTTTTCTTATACCCTAAATCGTGTGATTTTTCTACAATGGGGAAACTTACGAGCTCAGTTGAGGAAACCAAACATATATTCCCTTACTGAGTTAGAATTGAAGTCATCTCTCGTAATGTTGAGTGCCATAAGGCCTGGCTTCCCATGTCTGATTCTGGCACCCTTCCTCGGAACTCTGCCGAGCCAAGCAAGGTTGATGAAGTTGGTGCTGGGGAAGTGATCTTGGACTTGTTAGCGCCTACTCAACGGGAGGAGGAGGAGACCCAACAAGGTGTGGTGACACCAACACGAGAGGATGAAAAAGGGCCACCAATACCTCCTGAGGTCCTCAAGGAAGTACCCTACTACGAGATGAAGGTAGCCTATGCACGGCTTTCAACGTGCGAACAGAACGGTTATGCATATCCATATTTCCGAGGTGGTTTCGAGATTCCTTCCGAGACTACGCTTTTAAAACGTTGGTGTCATTCGCTTCACATTGTTATCATGTTGATAATATCATTGACACTGCACTCGTGAGTTGCCTGTTTTAGGTTATCATCACAACTCCGCAGTACCGTGGTGTGCCTCGTGGTGGGTTTCTGATATCCAACTCGGCTAAGAGGGTGGCGAGTCTACTACTGACCGACCCAGAGCCAAGTACATACCTCTGAGAGTTCGTTGGGAAAACACCCCCATGTTCAGGTCCGGTCTTTTCATTTCGTGACAAGGTCCCAGATCCGTCCAAGTCGGACTTCCTACTCCTGTTATCGTCGATCCGACGTCGTGGCCCGGCGATTCACATGCTATCACTGGGAGAAGTGACAGTTCTGGGAAGGGACTTGGAGTGCGTTGCGGCTCTTGGTGAGTTGGGCTGTAGTTACTATCAGGAGTTCTTGTTGATCTCAGTGGAGCTCTGGTAAGTTTGTACTCACCAAAACTCAGTGTAGGGAAATATGCACTTGATCAACCACATGTGTTGGTGATGAAAAAATTCTGAGGAAATTTTGTGAAATTTTCTGGTTTCCGTACATTTCTACCCGCAATAGTGTATGAACTCCTAGGAAAGGTGAGGAAACTCCTGAGCTCAGGTGAGGAAAGCGATTACATATATTCCTACTCCAACACTGTATAGGAAACTCCTGAGCTCAGTAGCTGAGGAAAGCAAACATATATTCCTACTCCAACACTGTATAGGAAACTCCTGAGCTCAGTAGCTGAGGAAAGCAAACATATATTCCTACTCCAACACTGTATAGGAAACTCCTGAGCTCAGTAGCTGAGAAAAGCAAACATATATTCCTACTCCAACACTTCTAGAGCTCCTAAAATGTACATTTCTGATTACATCACACAGCTCTGTACTGTGTTGTGAGGACAGACTTTTCTCATTTCAGTGGACCTACTAGAGGAAGGTTATGTGTATGCGTGCGACT